CACTTTAGGTGAGACACCCATAAAATGAGGCTCTGGCGTACAGCAGCAAATGCACGATATTCATTCATATGTATCCACTACAGTCTGTATATGTACTGAATGAGCTACATAACGTTAATATAATCTATATAAAGCGGCAAATTCAAATACAAAAACCATAATATACGTAATTTTTTTCATTGTTGCGGTGCACAAAAAAGCCTGAGTCCTGTAAAATCAATATACTGTACTATCTATAACTACTATATGCAAACAAACTGTTAATAACTATGTATCATTTTAAAATGTAAACTATGCACCCCAAATTTTGTATCAAACATTTTGTTGTGCGACCTCGTATAAAACATCTACAAAGAAAAGTTTCATAAATTAATCCGTAAACAATATTTTTTTATGTTTATGATATTTTTTAACTATGAATATTTAGGATACCATGGTAAACACCTTTTGTAGAATATCGTAACGCAAAATGATTAATAAAAGATTGCGTTATTATCCTTACCCGTTTTAAAGTTATAGCTTAATTTCTAAGAGACTGCAAATTTATCTAAAAGGGGGGGGGGGTAGAGGAAAGCACAAAGGGTTAGGAGTGGGGACTTTTGGGAAAATGCTCATCTCAACATGGTCTAACAGCATAGAAAAATTCATCTTTCCCATAGTTACATACAACATCAAACCTATATCGACTGTGGGCTACGTCCATGCGCGCCTCGGTACTACTACGAATTTTCCACGTTTACTCTTACTGAAATCAACGTAGCTCTGTTGTTTTTGCACGGATTTCTTTAAACTTGGTGTTGTTGTACTACTTGTTAGTTTTTCTAACCATAAATAGTTTTAACATGCCCTAAACAAGCGCAATATTTCCGATATTTCATTTTTAAGTATTTTTAAATTTTATTTTTTGCAATAAATGTTGATTAGCGCCTAAAGTATAAGAGATAGAAAAAAAGGTTGTAATAACCTTTTTAAAAGACAATATATTTAGGCGTAGATAGACGCTTAATTCACCTTTCTATCATTAACCGTTTGTGAGTTAGACGCGGAAACGTAAACCGATGACCCGCGCAACTTCCCCCCCTCCCCCCCGAGTTGTGACCACCCTAGAAATGCGACATCATCGATTTTGTTCATCTACTAGATGTCCCCAACAATAATCAAAAGTCAAATTTTGTCAGACTTTCAGTGCATACTCAACCCGTTTAGCGCCTGGACTAGTATGTTTCTGTTTGCCGTTAAACGCAATATTTTAAATAATTAAATTGCTTATTTGCACATTTTGGATAGGAAGACAAACATACAGTAACTAACAGCACATAGGTAGCAAATTTTATTAATCTGTTATGTCGTAAACATGTATCAATATCACTGTTGAAGCGTTTCAACGCAAAGGAAAGTTCCAGATTATAAAGATTTAACATATCTTTACAACGGCTACATCAATACACATGCCTCTTTATATTTTAATGCTTAAAACTTCGTGTTTAAACTTTACATTAATACTATAAAGTAAATTCGCTTGGTTTGTCTGGTTTGTCAAATAAATATTTTAAGCTTAAATAACCGTGTAGTCAGGGGTGGATAACGGGGTGATGGGTAGGGGAGGGCTTTTACATAGTTGGGGGTGGGTGGGGTCCTAGGAGGCGGGGCTTCGCCACCGTGGATGGAATAGGACTCCTGACGCAGGTAGAGCTGAGGATTATAGGGGTTAATCTGGGACCGCGGGCGAATTGGGAGTAATTAGGCTCCGGGCGAAATAAAACTCGGGCGGAATAGGACATAACCGCCTAGGTCTTACCATGAGACCTACGGTAATAGCTTATTCCCTACATGGGAAATTTACTAATTTTCCCTATATGGGAATATCATTAAAACTTAATCTTTGCAAACCTAAATAGTTTTTTACCAACTGTGTGTGACAATGTATTAACAGTTAAATTTTGTTTAGCTCAGGATTTCTGAATGGGTATGACAGACAATTCTGTGTTGCAGAGTAAAATATGACAAATAGTTTTTCAACTACATTTGCAAATTTTAAGTTAAAGTAAACAGAGTTTTCTATCAGTAAGCATAAAGTTAGCTGGAGGATAAAGTAAGCACAATCACTATATCAGGGCATAAATCATCAATAACACATTCAGCCTTAACTCCTTAACTAATCAATCTACTATCCATCTAACCACTGTATTGCAAAATTTGTTCGCAAACATTAAGGCTTTCTTATACTCATATCTTATTCTGAGAAATTTAATGTTGCAAATTGATAAAAATGTAACGCAAAACAAGAGTGATTTCTTCTTCTTTTTTATAATCAGAATTCCAAATTCAAATATATAACTAGATAAATTATGTTAATAAAAATGGTAATTTAATATTCTAATTTGATAGTCTCTTATATTATTCATAAGCTTAATTTTGTGCTGCAAGAAATTACCGCTACCTTTTTTTAGATGCACTAGTTTTTGCTCCTTTAGTGATTTGAGCAAAATATTGAGATGTCCTGAAACATACTTATGGTTAGTACTAAATTAACCAAATTCCAGTCAAAATAAATTAATTATAATTTATAGTTTTTCACCTTGTTACGCTTGAGTTATTTTGATTGTTTCCTGGATGATTATTTTAACAACGTTGTTTCCGACACATTTGGTCTGTTGAGTATGTTAAACTTTCTGACATTATTATAAGTCCTAAAGCCTAATGGTTGGAAGGATATACAATGTGATGTCACTTTGTAGAACATGTTTAATGATTTTTGTCGTCTATTTATTTACAGAACTTAATTCTGTAATGTTAAATTTTGAATTATTGTAATTGTTTAGTAAATTATGTAAAAAATAATGTTCACTGCTGAGAAGGAAGTGAATTCAAATGTCCAACAATCACTGTCTACAAAAAGAATGGAAAATAGATTCTCACTGGTACTTTCTAATTGAAGTACCTTAAGTGCTAAATTCAAGAGCATGAAAGGCAAGCTTGGTGCTAATTTTGCCACCTGTAGTGTCAATCAGATTCTCACCTTCAGCTATTTCACTGCTCTGTTGTCATAGAACAATCTGATTGCAGATTCCCTCTAATCTGCTTCACCTACTTATGTTACAGTATTAGATTCTACTGCTATAATGCATTTTCATTGCAATCAAGGTATTGAGATATTTTAACATAGATATACCTTTCCCATTGAAGTTAAACGCAAGGGTAAAGATATTTTTAGGGTTCCGTTCCCCAGTTGTCGAAGCAAATCACCAAATTCCTACCGTCCTCCTTACCTAGGTACTCATTAAACCCTAATGTTATTTAAATAGATTTAATTGAAAATCAATTCAGACAAATGGAAATTCGCTTAGTCGTCAGGTTTGCTGCGGCGGGGTGTTTACTAATCGTGAAGTAAGAGTTTCACAATAATGATAAATTACTTAAAAGTAACTCATTCAAACTAACTTGTTCAACATTTCTCCCACCCATACATCAAGAGATGGGCAAAGTGGGATGCAAAAGAGGTCAAAATCAAAACCAACAATGGTTGAGGTAGGAATGTACACTGTGAAGCAATAGAGGGTTTGGTTGTCTACAAATATTGACTGTGGTTCACAAATCACAAATCTCAGGGATGTAGATGTAGTAGTATAGAGTGTAGGAGGAGGATCCTTGACACCCATACAGACCACTGACCTTATGTAAATCAGCTGTCACTGATACTTCCTCTGTGACGCTCTTAAGTCAAAGTGGTACCAAGAGGTACCCGATCCAGGACTGTCTTCGGTAGGAGGTTTCAGCCAACAAATTATGCCTACAACAGCGGCTTGACTAGACTTTTGCGGGTTAGTGGAGGGACTGCAGCTTTTGTCGACTTCTACTGTTTGACGACAGTTAGAAGATTCTTCAACCAGCTATATCAGTAGTAGTAGTAGTTCCTATAAAATTCTCTTTGTTCCTCTTGATTTTTGGTGTCACGTTGAATGTTGTTAGAGCCATTTATTGTTGTTGTTACTTATTGTTTGTTATTGTTGTTAGATTTTATTCAGATGATTATAACTTGTTATCTATAAGTATAAAAGAGGATGTTTGTATATATATATATATATTTGGCAGTGATAAACTCAGACACCGCTGAACCAATTGCCACGAAACTTGGTACATACGTGTAGAATTTCATGGAATAGGTTTATACACCATCAATTTCATGATCCGTCCAATCGGCTCCGCCCCAGTGGCTCTGGAGTTTCCCATGTTAACCTTATGAGAAATGGAATTAATGAATCTTAACAGCTGTTTCAATTAAACAAGTTGGTTCTAGTTCTATTGTATGATGTTCAATAGCATTAAGTTACAAGGATTACCAACAGGGTGCAGCAATATTATTTCTTTTTCATTTATGACATTAGCTAATTTGCAACCAAAAGGTGAGTGAGAATAGCGAACGAACTTCAACCTAGAGGCGAGTTAGCGTAGTGAACGAGCTAACCTGAAGGCAAGTGAGCGTAAGGAACGAGCTAACCTGAATTCAAGTGAGCGCAGCGAACGAGCTCCAACCTAAAGGTGAGTGAGCGTAGCGAACGAGCTCCAACCCAAAGGTGAGTGAGCGTAGCGAACGAACTTCAACCAGGACGTGATTGAGCCATGCGAACGAGATCATCTTGAAAATTAAGAAGTTAAACGGGGCAAAGCCCGCGGGTTACAGCTAGTATTTATATATAAATCAGCTCATCCAGATGTTATTTATATCGTTGAGATGTTTTGCTTTTTGTATTTTTTTTTTGTCATGATTTGTATATCATCACAGAGTAAGACATTTTACACTATGGTGCAGGAACATCTACAAAATAAACCCTAATTATTTCAAAGTTAGAGGTTTCTCGTCATTATTCATAAAAATGTTAAACCACTAAACATAAGCATTATAACTTCAACACGTTTTCAATGAACATCATCAAGTCCTAAAGTCTGAAGTTCTAGAATGTTGTTTGGATTAGTTGCTAATGACTGTTTGTATGTTGCAGTGTATGCGAGCCTACGTTGAGTTTGAGATCGGAGAGGGTGCGTATGAGATCTCATGTCCGGACGCTCTCTGTGAGAAGCAAGGAGTCATGTCTCTCAACGAGATAGAACGACTTGTGTCTGAGGAGAACTTCGAGAAACACAAGAGGTTCAGGCTCAACAGAGGTTGGTAGACTTTCACTCCAAAAAGTTTGAATGTGCGTGAGTAAAATAATAAAAATTAAGTATTTAAGATGTTTTTTTGTAAAGATGGCTTACATAGCTATAGTTTGGCCACCTAGAAAGCAACCTGCGCGCTAATGCTAACCAATACTAGAGGAGGTTGCTTTCTAAGCGGCTGAACTATAGTAGAGTCTTTGTTCTTATTGGGTGTTCTTATGATTTTTCTTTCTTCCACAACCAGAACACCCTTAGGTCTTGCCTTATCCAAGAATGCAAGTAATATAGGCAATTACTTACTATCCCTTTACTTTCCAGCAAGTCTGAAGTAATTTTATGGAAAGTACCTCTATAAACAGGGAAAGTACATGGTACATTGTTAACAGCAGTACTGGGCTGGTAACTAGTTCTTTCACTTCTGTTCCTGTCTATAATCTCAGTATTAAGAAAATACATAAACTTAAGAATAATGGTAACCGTTAATAACGTGAAGAAGAAAATCAATTTCTTGGAGCTTGACCATACCTTAAATATTCAAAATTTGCAACATATTTTTATGTGGGTATCCATACTGTAATATAAATTTATCTGAATGTAAGATTAAAACTTTTTCAGGTTCTTCCAATGAGGCCAGTGCTATACAAAATTCGCTTGAATAACTTAAACATTCTGGATCATTGGAAATATATAATTCTAATTGGAAAGTTTAAATCTATTCAGGGGCAAACCAAAATGACCTAAACTGTTAATTTGATTTTGTTTGGTCATGTTTTTTTATAAATATACTCTACCATACATTATTTTAACAAAATGTGAACTTAACCTCCAATTTAAAATTTTTCTGACAACCACTCAGGCACATAGAAGCTGGATTGTTTCCAGCCATTTTGGCGAAAGCAGGAATACTGAAATTATACCGCCGATTTCAGTGAACATTGGATTTCCTTATTGAGTATACCATATTAGATTTTAAAATAAAAACGAGGAAACCATCAATGCAATAGTATTTTATCAACTGGATAGAGCTGTAGGAAAATTTACTAAAATCCCCTTTATCACACTCATATCACTTATTTATATCCATTCATTTTATTTCAATATATTTAATAGATAATACATATCTACTATCTTTTTAATGTTAGGACAATAATGTTTTCGTGTTGCAGAGGTAGAGCTAGACAAGAGCAGGACTTGGTGTCCGAGTGCTGGCTGTGAGACTGTGTGTACTGTGTGCTCTACTGCAGAGAGATGTGTTCCACAGTCAGTCCATTGTCCTACCTGTGAGACAGACTTCTGCAGTAATTGTCGAGCCGCCTGGCACCAGGGTGTGCCGTGCCGGCCAGAGGTAAGAAAAAAATTACCAAAACAAACTAGAATGATTATGTTTTGTAAATGGTTACCCAGTTATCTTTCTTTTTCTTTGAATGAAAGAGATTGGCAGCCTATTTTAGCCATGCATTTATTCTAACTTTTTATATGGGTGTCAAAGGCTTGTGCGTGAAACGTCTGAAGCACACAGCAAAGGGTGTAATCTTTACTGGAATTTTAATTTTACTTCATTTATTTTCTCATTGTTAAGAATTAGAAAATTGAATTATTTATGTTATGTATCCTTTGTTCTTGCAGACTTAGTTGTTTCCTCCTATATTTCATAATGCGAAATATATTATCGGAAAAAACTAACTCTGCAAGGACAAAGGCTACTAGATAAGGTAACTTAAATCCTTCAATGTACTGGAACGCAAACCATAGATATCGCTGGCTTAGATTCATAATCGGTTGCACTACTAACTGAGCCACCGACTCATCTTAAGGTTAATCTTGGCAAGTAGCTTGGAATTTAATTGATTTACATTAGCTACATGTTGATGTTACTATGACTACTTCCTCTTTATCTTTATGTTTAATTTCATTACATTATTGTTTCAACTGTCTCTTAATAACTCATATAAAAGTATAGTAGAACGTGAACAATCCAAATTAATTGGAACTGGAACCCATTTGGACTATCAAATTTTCCTTATTGTCAATATTATTACAGTAGACTCCCTCTTATCTGGATTCCTCGGGGCCAAGGCCAGTCAGGATAACGGTTTTTCTGGTTAAACCGATGCCCACTAAAACTCGTAAAAACGGACCGTTTAACTGCATATTTGACTTAAATTTAGGATAGCATTGTATTTACACACGTGAACACTGGTCTAAAATCTATCTCACGAGAACGGTTGTTTCAGTACCGCCCACTTCCTGCCGATCTAGTCCGGTTAAACCGATGATTTAAATAAATATTTCTGTATATGTATAAAATATCTATGTATAAATGTATATTGTATCAGAATTCTATCTAGCTATTAGTCGATGTAATGTATGATGTATTGTTCTGAACGCCATTCATGTATACTTTTGTATATCTGTGAATAAAGTATCTTTGAATTGAATTGAATTGCTGATAAAAACTGTCCGGTTAAAGAGATGTCATTTCCGCCGAGTGTAGTCCGGTTAAAAGGTGTTCGGATAAGAGGGAGTCTACTGTACCTTAAAAAAAGGTGAGCGTGTATACTATTTGAGTAAAACACTTTTTACAATTAATTGTATATTTACTATTATAGGTAAAGAGTCTAAAAGAGAGGTGTATTTAAAACATGTTTTATGTTCAAGCACTGTATCGTATTTAATTTTTAACAACATGTGTACACAGTGAAGACTAAAAACATTAGACACTACATGTTAGAGCTTTTAAAAATAAATGTGTGAACGGTTTTTAAACTGCGGTAGTATTTTGTTTTTGTAGAGCCAAGTTCTTAATTAGTTTAAAAAGACAGTATAACATTTTATTTCTTTTTAGACAATTGACATTCCGGATTTTGTATGTCCGAACTATTGACGTTCTACTGTAGTAGAAAGTTGTACGTTATACTGCTGTATTTAAATTTGATATATTAAGTCATAGCCATGTAAATCAAAAGTATGAATAAACATCGTATAAATGAATCTAACACTCTGTTTGCAGGACCTTGCACAGCCAATACCAGGAATCACGTTTGACTCTGAGCTGATCAAGTGCTGTCCGATGTGTGCCGTGCCGATAGAGAAAGACGAGGGATGTGCACAGATGATGTGTAAACGCTGTAAACACGTCTTCTGCTGGTACTGCCTCGCTTCCCTAGACGTAAGTTTCTCTCCTATACTAATGTGCGAGTCCTAGACTATAGTGGTAGATTGGATTCTGAAATGGAAGTAACACTGTCCACAAAAAGACTTTGATAGTTAAAATAATAGGCTATTTTAAATATATAACTTTTTTTTAATTATTAAGGCTATTATATATTTTACTTTCAAACCATCAAGGTATATGACTATCATAGGAATATGTGAGACATACATTTTTTACTTTGGTTGACCTTTTTGGGTCTTGAGTCAAAATCAGGTCAGGTTTAAATAACATTTCTTTCAAAGTTTCTAACAATTTAGATTTTTTATCCTACAATAAGTTAACAACTACTTCTGCAATCACGGTGAAATCTTCAACAATGTCCTTCGTTTCAACAAAAACAGGGGCATCCCCTGGGGTCACTGTGAAATAGACAACATCTCCTTCATTAACGGCAAAATCATGTACATCTTTCATCTTTCACGGTCACATGAGCTTCAACTTCGTCTCAAGCTGTTGCGGTCAAATCATGAATGTGGTTGCTGAGAAATTGTGAACATTGTTTGTTGTTATGAAGACTTAATCAGTGTCTCCTATGATCACATCGGAATCATGATTTTTGATCGTAAAATCTTTGCAAACGCTTTTGGCGATCGGAAGAATAAATACTCAGCAATGACGATTGAACTCCGTTACAGGTTTTATTGGTGAAATTAATTTTTGAAGGGAAGGAAAAAATCAGGTCTCCTTAGGCTGAGGCCCTTGGTGGCCCCTGCAATATCCAAAAGTAAACTTTTTAATACATTGTTTAAAGCAATTGTTGTTACCATGTGCATTATGATAGTGGACTAGTCTATAAGTTATAGGAAAGAACACTCATTTTTTAAGCGTAAACCATTAAATATCTACTGTAACACAATTGAACTACTACTATCCATATTAAAAATCTAGTTTTGCTGTACTCTAATATGTGTTATGTCATATCACTAATATGCAACAGTTATTTAATACCTTTATTCCTTAGGACGACTTCCTATTGCGGCATTATGACAAGGGTCCATGCAAAAACAAACTAGGACATTCTAGAGCTAGTGTGATCTGGCATCGGACTCAGGTAATGTAGCAATCACTTATAAGTAAAATAACTGTAACAAAAGAATAATAATATTCAATTTTAGAAACTGTATTTTTTTATGAATTAAAATCTACTGGTTTTACTAGAGCTGTTGTTGCGGTAGAAAAGTCAGGTTTAATTGTTTTTTTGAAATGTTATCTCCTTGGCAATGAAACGGCACCATAAGTAGAGGTTTCAAATTCCATATTTCCCTGGTCCATAGGCCAAACAATGAGTTTACCTGTCCTGTCTGTGGCAGAATTAACCGGGAGATGTTCACCAAAATCTATACTTATTTAATACGCAAGCAAGTTTTTTAAGACAATTACTCCTCCGAAACTACTGAACCGATTGACGTGTTTTGGTGTCATTGGAATGAGCGTAACATGAAATTGTGCAGGAAACTTTCTTTTTAGGGAAATAATTAGAGAGTGACGCCCTGGGGCCCTTTAAAGTTTCGTATTTCTCCATAAGATCATAGAGAAAACATAGTCCCTTAGTAGATTTCCCATCCTTATGGAACAGCTGAAGCCAATTTTATTGTTAGTTCTGTCCGGTTTTCTGTAGATGTTGTGTTTTGTTTACTATTTGTTTCTTGTTATTATTTCAGTAATTTAAAACCTCGTTTAACCAAATAAAACTATCTAATCATAAACAATAACTCGTCCACTAGCCATATAACCAACAGTGAGACACAAATTATGAGAAACTAACCCTAAAATAATAGAAACAAATTAATTGTAAACAAAACACAACATCTTCAGAAAACCTGACAGAACTATCAATAAAATTGGCTTCAGCTGTTCAATAGGGATGGGAAATCTACTAAGGGACTTATTTTATCTATGATAAGATTAACATGGGAAACAAACATTGTTATCAAACTCCAGCTGTTGTCAGATATTAAAAGTGAGAAGAAGAACATGTTAATTAACAGTCAATAAGTTTGCTACAAACATTTACTTACTTGGTTGAATATTTACTATTTGAATTTGGGTTGGCGTAAATATTACAATGGAAAAAAGCAAGTGAGCCTGGATAGCTTATATAATAAAAAGAAAACTAAATTAACACTGTGCTGCATTTCTTGGTAATCATTGAAAGAGCTGATTTGCAAACGATGGAAACATAGGAAAGTCATAGAACACCACCGAGGAGAAGAAATATAAATGTGTTTTTTTTTTTTTAGAATTTGTAATCGTTATTATGGACAACCTAATGCGGCTATGAGTAAGGCTATTTGTAGAAAACACTAAATAACAAGATCAGCTTTTGAAAATTGATAATGTACATCTTCAGTATTTCCATAATCTTTGAGTTGATTCTTTTAAAGTCATCAGAAATTATTACTGTTATTCGTTTTAAAATAACACCTGTAATACTTAGCAATTGCTTGAATTTGAGCAACAGGGACACTAGTAGTCATTAGATGGATCAGGTGGAATTTAATAGGTTGGGTGGATTCTCCTGTCATTTCTTCAACTCACAGGCATATAACTACTTTTAAATCTTCTATATATCTCACTCTTATTGCCGGATGGAATTTCTTTTCCCCAATCTTATCTGTGTGCATTGTTAATTATTCCATGTGCACTCAGGTGATTGGGATCTTTGCTGGCTTCGGTATCCTGCTGCTTGTAGCCTCACCCCTGCTCCTGCTGGCAGCTCCATGCATCGTCTGCTGCAAGTGTAGGGTGTGTAGTGGAGGCGGCCGACTCGACCCTGATGAGGAACTGCCGGACGACAACGGCACGTGAAACTCTCCTGATACTCGAGCAACGGAACTGCTCGAGCATTAGTAACCAGGTGGTCGCACCCAGAGTCTACAGTACTCATCGGAGACGCAAAACATAGGCAAAGAGAAGTTTTGAGGAGAAAGGTGTTGGTATCGACTGTTCAATTACTTCAGTATGATAAGATTTTGTAATTTGGTAGTAGACATCCCAATGGACCAGCCATAGCCATTTTTTTTTTTAAAGAACATGTTTGAATGAGCCACTCAGTGTGCTAAGCTTACTTATTTTTGTTCCTTGATTTTTATCAACATAGTGTGACATTAGAGATGTTTACAATAAGTTATCCCGTTATAGTTTGGCCGCTTAGAAAACGACCTGCGTGCTAATGCTAAACCAATGCTGGAGGAGGTCGCTTTCTAAGTGGCCGAACCATAGTTTGGTTTTGTTAAAAGTTGGCGCAAGTGACTTCTGTTATTTATTTACATTAGAGAATTCTGTCACTGGCTCAATTCAACAAAGTTCATTTTTATTCTGGAACTGGCTCAGACTTGAGCATGAGCATGGAATGTCCAGTTCTATGCATAGTCAAAGGTTTAAGATAAATAGTTCATCAAATGATTTGCAACAAGATCAACCAAGAACAGATGGTTTTACATTTTAAAGAGTTTTAGCTTTATAAAAGACTTTTTACACAGCGTGTTGTCTAAATTGTAAACATTTATTCATAGAAGTTTTTCTTGTTATTGTTAAACATGTTTTGACCTCTTTACCAAGTTACAATTACCATTACGATACATTCATTTGCTAAATTGTTAATTCAGTTTGTGTAATACATAATGTACCAACAAGTAATTTAACGTTACCATTTATTTGTTGTTGACAGTTTTTATGAGAAGTTTATAAATAACCTTATAATTGTTCAAGTTAAGTTTTAACAAAACGTTTTATTACATTTTCGCACAAAATTATGTTTAACCTTGTTATGAACACAATAATTTGTTTACAAACAAAATAATTAAACAGTAGATAATGTACTTAACAATGCCCCTGTTAATCATGAGTTGATTTAAACTTTACTGTTACTTATGTTAATGTTGAACCATACTGCCTTTTATACCTTTCAAATGAATATGGAAACTAAACTGATGATATTGAGGGTCGAACAAAATCCAACCATGAACTGTTGTGAAGATGAGATGTTTTTGTTACAAGTGAAAATGTTTTGGACTCAAGTTAAAAAATAAGTTGTATATACTTTGTACAAAGTGCAAGAAGATTAATAGTTTTGTTTAATTTGTAAATACTAAATACATTAACATGTAAATGAAGTCACGTATTTTAGGAGAATTATTTGGCAGGAGGGTTTAGGTTTTTTACAAGTAACAATTAGCTATCAGTACAATATTTTAATTGTTTTGCCCAATAACTTCCTCATTTACGGTTAAATTCACAAAATTAGAAGTAAATAACTAAGCAGATAAAATAAAGTGCTTCCATTTTTTAATCAATAATCGAGTGGTAAACTATAATGCTCCTGCCAAGTTTAACATACAATGCTGTAAATAGTATAAGTGCAATTTTAGAAGTTAACGAGAGTTAACAAGGCTGTGAGTGGGTAGAGACTTAATTTTTTTTTCCGGGTGTCATGTACTTAACTAGTAGTGTTGCGATGATGATGCACAAAACTGTTGGATTGCTTTTGGTTTCAACCTTAAAGATTTTACTTCTGATTCTTGAAAAAGTAAAAAACAAAATATTTAATGAATGTTTGTTATGGATTAAGTCATTAACTAATAGTCAAAGATTTAGTTCTTTGTAATACAGAGAATGTTGTCATTGTTGTTCTCTAAATACCAGCAGCTGACACGGGCTCTTGACTATCACATCATTATTGCTGTGTAGTTTAAATGCTATATATTTCATTAAACAGTTTCTAAATGTTTTCCTGTAGTACTTTTTATGTTTTTAAAGGGAATAGGCTACCAAACCTAGGTTGTAACTTTCTAAGGTACATTGATTAATGTTTTTTCTTGACATAAGGACTCGACAATGTCATAATCTAAAAAAAAGCAAAAAACAGTTCAAGTACTCAAAATTTCATCAACGCCAATAGTAAAATATTTAAATAATCAGAGCGATTCACAAACTCCAGATTTCACCAAGTCCAATAGCATAAGTTTTAAATAGTCATCGTTTCACAAATTCCAATGGTATTAATTTAATAAGCAGAGTGTTTCACGAGCTTCAAAATCAACTCCAAAAGTACAGTTCCGGCCAGAAGTTGCTGCAGGGGTTGCCACGGTCAGATTGCAGGTACCGTCCGCCGTGTTTGTGACGTTGCTCTAGGATTGACTAAGGGGTCATGGGCTCCAATCTCTATACAATTTAATGTTGTTGGTTCAATAAATTTTAAGTGTTAAAAAGGTGTTAAGACGTTGAGTGTGGGCAAAATCTATTAATGTAGTGCGTCATGAGCGCTCCTATCGGCCTACATCTATAGATGCCACTCTCACTACATTAGTTCATTATGAGCTCAGCCATTGCCAGGGAACGTTATAATCATTGCCAGGCTGTAGCTTAGAATGCAAGCTTTAATTTGGTGTAGGTTGGTACTAAAAATTCCTGTAAAATCCCATCTAACAATGCTTTTGTCCTGGTTTTGGGGATTTTTTCTATTCAAGCCATATTTCAAAGACACTGGCTATAGATCCAGGCAGTGCTGCTACCTTTGGGTATTTCATTGATCTACGCCCACTTTCGGGGTAACGCAGCACAATCACCACTGCTCTTTTGTGATTCGTCAGACTGAAATATTTGAATGCCAATTGCGATTGCTGATTTATTGGCGAGCCGGGGCTTTGCCCGGGCCTCAGCGTCTGTTAAATTGTTTTCAGCACTCAATTTGTACGCTATTGGGATTCACCTTTTCAATGGTGAGCTTGGCATTGTAAACACTTTTATTTCAAAAAAATAATTTGTAAACACTCATAGTAGAGACTTTGACTTTAGTATAAAATATTGAGGCGTGAAATCTGGAGTTTGTGATTTTTAATAATTTAGCCTACTATTAGAGTTGGTAAAATTTAAAGTTAGTGAACCTCACCCATCAGTTGTAATACTGTAGGCCTACTAAAAATATTTTGACTTGGCACTATTCCAAAATAGGTTCCTAATTTAATTTTACTACAAGTTTAACTCAGAATTATCAACCTACATGTTTAGTCGAGTTTGAAGTTTAAATATTTCAACAACAAATAAGATAGCTATAGTTTCTACAAGACCTGTATGTCAAATGAAATTGAAAGAAAAGAAATCTATTCTTTATAGTTGAAACTTTGATATTTTCAAAAGCAATCCACCAGTGTTTAGCAATCAACTCCTATTGGCTACTAGTGAGTAGAAATAACCTTTATTAACTGGAATACTTTAAATGTGTACCACTTAACTGGAAATAAGTTAGCCTAATTCTTTAGCTCTAGATTCTTGACACAGTAAAAAATATATTCTTATTATCTGGATTTTCCCATTAGTGGAAAAATCTTCCTTTAAGTCGGCCTTTAGGGTTTGGAATTCTTCCTTTTCAGTTAGGTTTTAAGCTCAGTAGAGTATGGTAATATAATAATTATTGCAGTGGACATATTACCTATCAATTTTACTTTAAAATGTGAGGTTTGAGGTTAATAATTCCTCCTCTTGTTAAAATATCCACCATAAAATAATGTATTGTTGTTGGCTTCATTCCCAATCGTTTCTACTTACAGTAGTTTTTTCTCCTCTGGATCTGGTTTTAAACTGCTTCCCTCCAGTTTTTTAAGCCCATCTCTAGCTTGGCTTGAAGGACTAAACCCTAGTCTGCAATAGTTTTCCAGTGAGTGGTACAGTAAAAAGCTTTCACTTCTAATTTGTCTCCCCAACTAGAGATGTACATATAATGCACATCTTCCCACACTATATCGACTGTACAAACTCAATCAGAATGTCAAAGAAAGTGTTTAGATATCAATAAAAGCTTAATACATTGTAACTTTAAATTTACTATTATCATAATATGATATCTTAAACTGTAATTTCTGTCATGCTTATTTTTTCATCAGGAGCTATTTAACTTTTTTCAGCTTTTAATGCATTTTTACTCCATTTGAAAATTTGTGATAACTATACTAGTTTTTAGGTGAGGTAGTATTTTTTAATAAGATTTTTTTAAAGCAATGTCTTATATTGTTAGTTGTAAGAATATTATTTCATCTATAAGCTTGCTTTCCAATAAACATTTAATATATCAAAATTAAAACTTTTGTTACTTGCGAATCAGGAGGTTGCTTTAATGTTAAGCTTTGTACCGCTTTTTTCAATGTTCAAATTGGAACTGGTAGATTATTTCGTTAAATTTGTTGAAAACAAGTGATTTACTGAAAATAATCAGTATAAAACAGAATTTTTTTATATTTACCCAGTATTATTAATGTTTAATTAATACCTGTTTTAAATAATTTTGGTATTAAAAATCCAATGTTAAATTAACTTATTCAAACCTAAGCACAGTTAGATGTTTTGTGTTGGTTAGTTTTGTACAGTGATATGTTGAGTATATGTTGCTGTTTTGCTATACAGATCAGCGAACATCCTAATTCTTAAACTTTGTTAGGCTGATTTCGAGACAATGTCTTTGTAAAAAATGTGAGGTTGTTTTTATTTTGCAAGTTCAGGTTGTTTTTTTTTCTTTATTCCAGCAGGTGATTTTTTTAGTTAACTAATTTAAATGCAATTATCTGATTTACATCAGTTTATATTGTTTAAGAGCTTGTTAAGTTTATAAGCATTTGTCTATCTATTGTTGAATGTTGACTTATTATAATTAGGAGCAAAATAAATTCTCAATCTAATTTTTATACTCTTGGAGTTTTTACTTTTTTTACACACACACAAAAAGCTTGAAAACCTTTTAGGTATTTCCTAAAAGAAAGAGTAATTTAAGTTACATTTACATTTAAGTTGACTAAAAATATCTTTCTTGTTATGGTTACATGATTATAGATGCTTTATGCTACAACTCATTAGTTGTGGCTAAAAAATGTTTTAGTGAAATGTTGTGCAATGGAAAGAACAGTTTTGTTGATCATCTGTTTTCTACTAAAAGTCTGCCAATTTAAAAGCAACTATTCGATTTGGGTCCGTAAAAACATCAACAGTACACCATCTGAGTAGGTAGCTTTAAAGTAAATTAGTAAATCATATTTTTTGTCATACTACATCAAAAACAGCCATTTTTAATGTATGGGTTGCGGGTAAAGTTGCATTTATACTCTCTAGGGAATAAAAATCATTTTAGTCTCTTGGGAGTAAAAATCAGCTGTTGTAAATTTCGATTGTGGCAATCACATCCATCAAAATTATTTATTGATTGATTTATTAGGTAATGTTTTTTAGCCTATTATTGTCGATTGCTCGACATATCGAGGGTATAATGTACTCTAACACAATCGTAATAGACAAAATATGATTGAATCACTTACTAAACAGCTGCTTATTTGCATTAGCAATTAGCAGAATTGAAAACAAGCTGGAAGTCGTTTTGAGAGGTTATCTTTAAAAAAATTCTTTTGTTTTCTAGCCTTGTAATTAATGATGCAATATGACGAAAAATTTAGTTCACCACACGGGCGACTTTTTTCATCTGGTGACAACCACTACAATAAATTAACCATTGTTCCATCCAAAACATTCTTCAAGTATTTATCTAGTCCTTTAACATTTAATATTTTAAGAGAGTTATGGAAAAAACAAACATCATGGAAAACTATAAATGACAAAATGACCCCAATGTCTAATTGAAAGGGTTTATAGGATCTAGGATCTCATTTTATTGACAACATTGATAAATTAATGTTGAGGTGACATATGGAAGAGGATACAATTTCTACTCAAAGGATAATTTTTTTTATCTCTGAAAACACACTCAAAACATTTTTAAAACTTTAAAAATGGTGATCCTGTATTTTACTTATTCATAAAGACGTAATTTATAAAATCATTTAACAATCAATTACTCTGACAAGTAGATAATGGTATTGTCCTGCAAGAAGTTTACCATGTTCCTTCCGTTCAAATCATTTGTTACAGTAGCCTAATTATTGGTGTCTCTAAAACCTCTGTAACTTCACAATAACTCAGCAATCAGTGATATTGAAAACTTTAAAATGTGTATAACAAATTATAAAAACACTTTATGTATAAACAGCACTGTAGTTACTGAATCTAAATCAAATTAGAAGAAGAACGTCCCCTTAACCATTATACCAGAGTATTTCAAGACAAAAAATGATGAAGGCAAACATGAGGCCAGCAGTTAGCATGTAGAATAGTGGACGAAGTTTGGAGATGGGCATTACCTCTGGTTGACCGAAGGTAGGAACATCATTCTCTATTAGGAGATGTCTTGTGTTAAACAATGGCCAGCGATAGAGCACTTGAAACTTCCACTCACGCAAGAGACCAGCCTAAAAAAGTTAAAGTAAGAGTAATTTTTAACGTCATAACGTTACTTTTCCGTGTTTAGGCATGGTAAAGGGCAACTTTCCAGCATATCAATGCGGATCCAAAAGTACCTGTTTCTGTGTAGTAGGATGTAAAAAGTCTTTAAAAGATGTTGTTTTATTTGACAGCATTTTTTAAAGCAAGTTTTAAACCTGAAGGTAATGTGTTTTATTAACACAAATAGGAAAATAAGTAAAAATGTTCCAACATTTTATATAAAAAAAATTGTTGGATAAATTTTGAATGGCAAGAAGAAACCCTTAACTCTCAAGTAATATATTTGATGCACTATATTCCCTAGGTATATGTAATCAACCTTATTTTCTTGTTCCACATCTTTTAGTGTAATTAATTTGTTCTTTTAATCACTTTTCATATAACTACAACTCCAGCTAGAACAAATTTTTCTGTTGCCAAGAATATTAATCGTTCTTGTGGCTTGTGTGAGTACACTGGGCTAGTTAACAATCTAGTTTGCATAAAAATCCAGTGAATGACATGTAGTCACCAGCAGGATAAATTTTTTCCAAAGCATTTTTAAAAGCACCTATCGGGCGAGTATATAAGGCATTTTGAGATGAGTGGAAAATGCTAGATTGTAGTTTGTTAATGTCATTGGTCTACTTGGCCCTTAGTGAGTAAGACCAGCTGTTTCTTGAGCCAGTATCACGTAAGCCCAATGATGGACAGTTTCAAACCATCAAAATGCTACCATCAAATATTCTACCTTAACTGATTATTAGACAAGTTTTCTAACCACTCTAACCCAATTATTACTATTATATATATGTATTGTTGAACTTATTACCTCCATAAACCTCATGGTCATTATTGTCAAAGGCTCCAACATAGGCGAATGTTTCTCGACTCCAAACGAAATATGCCCTCTGCCAAGACTTTCTCTTGCTACCCGATACAGCTTCAAAGCCTCGTGTCCTACAGTACCATCTGTATCCAACACTACTAAATCATTGTTTAACACCTGAGATATCATCGTCATTTTCTTATCGGTATACATTGCAGCGCTGACTGCATTTTCTGTCATGTACTTGTATCTCTTCTCATAAAGCTTGTGCCTTTTGTTCTGGAAAAGTAATTACATAAAATTAGTTATAAAATGTATTAACTTTTATGCTTAATGATACACTTTCTGTTGCAAGAGTTTTTAAACAACTTTAAAACTGATATTAAAAGTTATAACAAAACCTATTATAGGAACAATTATAAATCAGCACTGGCAATCTAAGCTCTGCGAATAACAATAAATTAGTTTTTTACCTCTTCTACAAAATTAAATATTACAATAGCATCTTTAGTTGAGGTTAGTTGTCAAATCTCGCCAAAAAAGCTTATCCTGCTCCAGTTCAGTTTCCACAAATAGTCAGCCGAACGAGATGAGCCACGGCCACCTTTAACACCAGCTTCAAATTGGCAACGTTGCAAGTAGTGTTCTAACAGCTGTTTTGTTTGGAAGCAGCTAATGTTATTTGTGTATTTACGAAAGATTGGTTACTGGACTATGACAATATATTGACTTTTTTAATTCATATTGTTTCGGTTTTCAATTCTGTATGTTTTGTTTTCAATATTTTAAAACATTTATGCTCATAAATTTAAATTTAAATCAATAAGGTGCAAATTAAAGAGCTGATGTCACCTGCCTGCCATGTTTTTTTATGGGACGTCTGTCACTAAACAACACCACTTGCGACGTTGCCAATTCTACCAGGCCGCGGCTTGTAGTTAAAAGTGGCCGTGGATGAGCGCAGCATCCCTTCAAAGCTTATCTATATACTATTATAAAGAAGATCTGGTGTCTGTGTGTTTGTATGAGATGAGTTCAAAAACTACTGAAACCGATTGGACTCCAATTGGACAAAAATAAAGCTACCGCTCCGAGGATACATATAGAACTACTCCCCCTTCAATATTGAACTAGGACTCTGCCCCACGGGCTTTCAAAATTTTGAGGTGAGAGATTTAAAAGTAAATATTGATTGGTCTCCATGGTAACAAAGTACAATCTCACAAAGTTTAATAAATGTAAACAAGCAAACTGTCAAATGAATTGTCCATTTTATTTATAAATAATGATTTATATTCATTATATTTATATTCATTCCAATATTACCAGTTCTTCTTGAAGATTTTTTTTATCAGAATTTATTTTACAATCTGTTCATAAGAATATTAGTAGAACAATAATTAAAACATTTAACAAAAAACAATGGCAGGAAGCAAGCACCTGTTCATCAATAAGTCTTGCCATTCTTGAAGAATGACTATATCAAAATATAATATCAATTTTATGATATACATCATAAAATAAAATAATTAAACGTCATATGTTTTTTTATATTATCAGCTAATATCATATGTCTTGCTTCCAACTTTTTCCCTGTTGAATATTGCAACCCAACTCATCTAGTCTGGATTAGTGATGGACCATCATATGTTTTTACATTGTACATATGAAGTTGTTTACTAAATATAATTCAGTGTTGTGTTTGTAAGACAATAAAAGAGTTTACAACAAACTTTCTTTCATTAACTTTAATTTCACCAACAAAGGTTATGGGCCATTTGGAATATTAAAATAATCATTTTACAGTATTCTGTGCTTAAAAATAAGTAAAATGAGTTTTGGCTATAGAATTGAACCTTTGAAACGAAATAATTATGACACTTGGAAAATTCAAGCTGAAGCTATATTAATCCAACAAAACCTAATGGAATATGTATCTGGGGAGAACAAATGTCCTGAGGATGAAGTTGGTAAGAATGCCTGGATAGTTAAAGATCTTCAAGCTAAATCAGAACTAATATTGATAATTTCACCTAGTGAATTGAAATTAGTAAAAAACTGCAAAACTTCCAAAGAAGTATGGGATTGCCTGCAGAACAATTACCAAAGTTCTGGTCCTGCAAGGAAAGCCACATTATTAAAGCAGTTAATAGTTCATAAAATGAAAGATGGAGAAGATGCTAGGCTAGGGATCATGTCAACAAATTTATGGAGATTGTTGACAAACTTCAAGAAATGGACATAATTATCAATTCAGACTTACTGAGCATTATGCTACTTTACAGCTTATCATCATCATTTGAAAATTTCCGTGTAGCAATTGAGTCTAGAGACACTTTACCTTCTCCTAATGATTTAAAAATAAAAGTAATTGAGGAGAGTGAAGCTAGGTCAAAAGACACTTGTACGAATAATGAAGATACATTGTATTGCAAAACAAAGCAGTTCAACTCCAAGAAAGGTATTCACAACACTTATAGTCATAAGAAACCAGATGAGAACAACACTACAAAAGTAGGTTTCAAAGTTAAATGT